CCCCCCCAAAGGGGGGGGGGGGGGGGGGGGGGGGGGGGGGGGAGACGGGAGACAAAATACGAAAAACACACACTCATAGTTTTCCTCATAGCGTCCGAAGCTGAGGCAAAAAACACTGCAGCAGTTTTCACGCTGTGATCTTGTCAGGCAAAACAACTAATATGCGAAGGAGGAAAAACACACACACACACACACACACACACTCCAGACCGGGAAAAAATGTGGCTTCCCCTCACACTGTAGGAAATATGTTAGGCTCCAAGGCGCCAGAGGACATGTTGGGAGATGGGAGACCAAACAGACCACCTCTGGGGGGACCCCTGACAGGAAGAGGCCTTCTCCTAGTTCTCCATGAGGGGCTAATGGCCCCTTCTAAGGTTGGCAAAGAGAGAAAGGGCCCAAGTGGCTTTCCACGGGTTCCCACAGCATTTCCCTGCCTGAGGTGGGACCAGCCAAGGTCATCACTTGGCCCCCTTGAAAATCCCACCAATGTCCACTTAAAGCCTGGGTCTTCTTTTGCCAAAAAGGCTCGGTCCCTGGACAGAAACCAAACCCGCTTCTTTCAAGGTCATTTACCCATTTGCAGGCATTCTAGTATTTTAGGGTTTGTGATCCATCTTAAGAACCTTAAAAATGACATCCATATTGCTGAGGGGGGGGAAGGGGGATTAAAAATGGCATTGCTGCCATGATGAAAGCACTGTGTCCCCTCCCCTTGGTACATTGGGCCACAAATTGAGAACCACCGAGTTAAATGGCCATGAATTAATGAATGCCACCCTTTTCCTGAATTTCAGTAGCTCTGTGGCTTAGGGGGGTTGGCTCACTTTGGTGCGTCTTTCCCTCTGGGTTGTTTCTCTTTCCATTTAATTCCTCTGCCCTCACATCTTATATGGGAGCCGGTGCTTTTCTTTTCCCCCACAAGAGAAAATGCAAAGGGAAAGACAAACCTAAAGGGACAAAGCTGTGATACGGGGTTCAGTTTTCAATCTAAGAGAGACACCCCAAGAAGCCACCCCTACCTTGCGGTTTACTTCAAATTGCATCCTCAATTTTTGGAAGCCATCTGTTGCAGCATGCAATGTTGCCTTTACTCTTTCAAACCCTTACACAGGAACCCTACAGCACCGGGGGGGGGGGATATCCCCACCTCTTTCCCCCACTCCCTACCCACCCTTTATAGCTAGACTATCAGAACGGTTTCAGAAAACATGAAGAGGGTGCTTGATGGCAAGGTTAGACTCCTTTGCAAAAAGCATCCTACAGAACGCATTTAAGGCCAACAGGAAACAGGCAGCTGCTATCCCCAGATCGAGTCCTCTGTGCCAATCCAACCACTGGGAATCTCTGCCGAACCCTGAATTCACCAGTAGCTATTAAACACAAATTAAGATAAAGGAAGCGCGCACTCATCCAAGTCCAGAGACGTTTATTAAAATCACAGAAGTCACTGTAAGAAATATATACAGGAAGATAACACCAATCTTAGTATAGTTTGAGCCAGTGCAGGCTTATTGAAAATGAGACTTAATCTCCACTTGCAGTCAAACTCTGCAACTCTAGTTGAAGGCCAGGTTTCCAATATGTACAGTGTCAAGCATGTAATCAGAAACAGTGTGCAAAAGACTTTTAAGTTTCTGTAGGAGAATACCCTTCGTCCCTGCCTCCCCCCATATTAAATTTTTTCCAGGCAATGGTCAAATGGAATATTGGCACAATTCAGTTATATACACAGAACTAGTTCATGGGCACAGGGTTGAAGACTGGAGGCAGCACCCGCTTTGAGTTGGCTTTCACCCAAGGGTGGTCCATCACAGCCTGGAGTGATAACCGTTCTGACGGATTATGGCGCAGTAGCTTCGTAATCAAGTCCCGGGCCCCATCTGTGACAAATGGCGGAAACTTGAGATCAACCTGTTTGAAGGAACGGAAAACAGAACATCTCAACAAAAGCAGAACCCAAAGATAAGCAAGCAAGGAGGCTCGAAGTCCGAGACAAAGACCCTCTCAGTTTCTGAAAACAACTCTCTTTTTCTTGAACCACAGAGACACCTCTTTTTTGCCTGGCTAACCTTTTAAAACAAGAAGCAAGCACAGCTCTAAACAGGTTCCTGCAAGCCCAGAACTTCCATTACTCATACTGAGATATTCAGTCCCCAGGCAGACGATCAAGAACCGCCCAGTCCCGTAGCAAGGAGTTCTTGTCACAAACTAGGGCTTACCACAGAGTTAATTGGCAGTGAAGCCAAATTAGGACAGCTCTTCTTCACTTATGTTGGTGACAACCATAGCTAAGGTGGCATTGAAAGAGAGTGAAGCACATTCCAGACTGGAACTTTGAGTAGCTACTAGCCTCAACCTGCCAGCCCAATCTTGATTTTAATCCTCAAAGCCATCCTGCCCAGTAAGCTGGTCTGAGAGAGAAGGAGCCAAGGGCTTTCAAGAAGCTTCAAGGCAGAGTATAGACCTGAGCTTAGGTTTCACATTGAGTCTACTAATCAAGATTAGTAACAGGACAGTCTTATTTTCATATCCACTTTGGATTATACAAGTTATAGGACCGCCAAATTTGTCCAGTGGGCTACGGACGGGCAGAAATCCTTATTTGCTTTATCAATTATTATGCCCATTTTATTACACTTTAATCTTATTATCTGGCTGAGCAAGCCAACTCTGCCCAGCTGTCACCGAGTCCTATAAGCACAGAGTGGGAAGGCTCACCGAGACAATGCGGCGGTAGGTCCCGGAGTGGGAAGAGCTCTCAAAGGGCGGGTGCCCCACTAGGAACTCGTAGCACAGCACCCCGATGCACCAGAGGTCCACCTTCTCGTCGTGGGCTTTGCCTTCAATCATCTCCGGCGGCAAGTAGTCCAGAGTTCCACACATGGTCTTTCTCCTGAGACAGAGGAAGAGGGTACAAGAATCAGAACCAGGAGAATCAAAAGGAGCCCGGCCATTGAAGAAGGCTGAAACTGGGCCTTCCATGTCCACCACCACCCCTTTCAGGATATATGTACTGTGTGCTATCAAGTCAATACAGTGGTGCCTCGCTTAACGATGTTAATTGGTTAAAAAAAAACACACATCACTATGGGAAAACATCGCTAAGCGAAATACCATTTCCCATAGGAATGCATTGAAAACCGGATAATCCGTTCCAATGGGAACGGATTACCGTCCTTAAGCGAAAATCGCCATAGGAAACATCACTAAGCGAAACGCGGTTCCGCCATTGGAATGCATTGAATACATTTCAATGCATTTCAGTGGTTTTGACAGGGGGACCTAAACTGTCATCGCTAAGCGAGGCAAGGTCCCGAACATCGCTATGCGAAATTTCCCCATAGGAAACATCGCTAAACGGAGCGCAAAATCGCTCAAAAAACCTCATAGCTAAGCGAATACATCGTTAAACGAGGCAATCGCTAAGCAAGGCACCACTGGACAGTACTGACTTATGGCAACCCTTTTCAAGGTATTCCAGGTAGAGAATACTCCGAAGTGGTTTCCCCTTCCCTTCTTCTGGAGGGAAATCCCTGGGACTGTGCAGCTTGCCCAAGGCCACCCAGGCTGGCTGTCCTCCCAGAAGGCCCAATGGGGGAACTGAACTCACAGCCAAAGACCTAAAACACTGAGCTATCAGACCCCCCCTTTCAGCACCCCACTGCAAGGTAACAGAGAACGCCACTTACCTGAGTGAGGGGGCATGTACCGACCAGCCAAAATCGCTAGAGAGGAAACCTCATGGACGTCAATGAAATCCAGTTTCAATACATAACTTCAGACGTTTAAGGTATGATCCCTTATTTAATGGCAGTTTCTGGAACTAATGCAGATGTTGTCCAAAGTAATTTTTGCAAATATAAGACTGCTACAGATCTGATGACAGGTTTCTTGGTCAGGGACTAAGTTCTTAGGTTTGGGACAGTGTAGAGAATGGAGAATAGTGGTCAGGCTATGGTCTCTTCATTGCTACCACTGTCAGCCTGCCAGGTGATCCTCAGGAGAAAAGATAGAAAATGGGGGGGGGGAGAGATAAAGAATCTGCAGTCAAGGGGCAGCAAAAAGACAGAGGAAAGGAGGTCATAATAATGGGAGGAAATAAGGGGATCTTTAAAAACAGAGGGGCTAGAGACCCATAGTGACTCAGTTGCCCCGTGTCCTGCAAGAATGCCAGAATATTCTGTGGCCTCCATATTTCAGAAGCAATCAGCCTGGACCACACTACCCGGACTGCTCTTTCACACACACTCCAAATTTTGTAATTCAGCTCTCTGTTTGAAAGAGATAGCAGTATGGGCACAAAAATGCATATGTAATAAAACACATGTAAGAAATGTGTGCTGTGAGAAAATATTTTCAAACTTTGTGTTTCAAAAATGGAATTTAAATGCAGTTTTTTTTTTTAAACAAGTGATGGTTAATACAAAATTGCCACCCAGAGTAGACCTTTGGTCTAGATGGGTGGGGCAGAAAACTAAATAAATAAATAAACAAACACAAAAACAAAAATACAGCTCGATCGGTTCTCCAGTATTAACAAGTGATGGTTAATACAAAATTGCCACCCAGAGTAGACCTTTGGTCTAGATGGGTGGGGCAGAAAACTAAATAAATAAATAAACAAACACAAAAACAAAAATACAGCTCGATCGGTTCACTTTTCCAGTATTAATGTGGCTACTTACAAGGACAATATTGCCAAATCCATGAGATCTAAAAGTGAAACAGCTTCTAGTTCCCTTCTTTTCTTTCTTTCTTTTTTTGTGACCAAAGGAAGAAACTCATAAAGAAAAACAAAGACTAAAAGCAGTACCCTAAGTCTGTAATACTCCAAGCAGTCTTTTGATGAAATATTTCCAAACTGGGACCATAAGACAAGCAAGATTTTTAAGCCAATTACTTATCCTGGTTTAACGAAGATTCTTTCAGAATTCCTGTTCAGGACAGAGGAGGACGGCACCCCACTGAAAGGGTGGAAAACATCTTTCAGCCCAAGAAATTCAAAAAAAGCCTCAGCTGATAGTTAGGACCAAAACTGTAGTTTCAAACAGGCAGAGAGTGTGTGTGTGTGGGCTGGTGATCACAGAGTAATTGGCAGCCTTTTGCTCCTGAGAGAGGGGAGTAAAAATTCCAAACCAGGTTGCAAAGAAAGAGGCTTCAGGCTGCAGGGGATGGAGATCAACTTTCACAGACCTACGCCACCCATTTTTGGACCCCTGTGTACAGTTTTTCTACACTACCCAAGGAGTTGTGCTAAGCCTGAAGAAGTGGGATTTTCTCCATGAAAGTTTGCAATTTGTTTGTTAGTGGACCAATAGAAGGTACCGCTACTCTTCTTACATGGGTATATTGGGAGACCACATGGCCGTTTCCTTGTTCTCATTTGAAAAAGCTTTCACTAGCTAAGACCTACGCCACCCATTTTTGGACCCCTGTGTACAGTTTTTCTACACTACCCAAGGAGTTGTGCTAAGCCTGAAAAGTGGGATTTTCTCCACGAAAGTTTCCAATTTGTTTGTCAGTGGACCAATAGAAGGTACCCGCTACTCTTACATGGGTATGATATTGGGAGACCACATGTCCCTTTCCTTGTTCTCATTTGAAAAAGCTTTCACTAGCTAAACTCACCATCCTTTCCTCACCCTGGAATCCCAAAGATTGGCTCTTCCCAGTACCTGAGATGACACTGTATCTCAATTTCCCTCCGCAGCTGGTGCTCCACGCCTTCCTTCTCCATTTGGGACTTGAAGAGCACCTTGAGAGCTACTATGAACTTGGTTTCTTTCGTCCGGGCGAGGTAGACGTTGCCGAACTTCCCTCTGCCCAGAGGCCGCCCAATCTCAAAGTCTTCAATGGTGAACTCGCGCTTTGTCCTGAATTCCAGAATAATTCAACATATTGCAATCCCGTGAGTAGCCAAAACACACTGGGAGGGGGGCCAAGTCCTCACAAGTTTTAGCCACTCATCCCTCCCGGCTCCCCTAAAAGCACTAAAAACAAACTCACTCTGATGCTTCCTGTGCCGGAAGAGCGTTGGAAGTAGACTCAACAGGTACTCGGCCTGCAACAGCTGTAGAAACGGAAGACAAAGCCAGGGTATTCTCTGCTCAACAAGGAAACAACACACAATATAAGATGTGGTGGGAAATTCAGGACCGAGAGAAGGAAACACTTCTCCACACAGTACCCAACTGAACTGTGGAATTCACAGCCACATAACTAAAGAATACGGTGATGTCTGTCAATGGAAACAGTTCTAAAAGGGAATTAATAAATAAATTCTTGAACTTTAGGGCCATCAGTGACTACCCAGGAGGATGGTTCTGGATCGCCTTCTGTATCAGAAGCAGCATGCTTCTGTATCTCAGCTGCTGGAGGGAGCATGAGAAGGAGGATGCTAGTATACTAATATCCCACTTGTGGACTTCAAGGCAAGTGATTGGTCAGCATGTGATCAGAAAGCTGGAAAATAAGACCTTTGGTGGTTAGGGCTCTCCTTGAAAACAGTACAGAAACATCAGAAGATCCTGAGATCAGTGTGGACGCTGCATTTTATCTCAGGTACCAACAAGATAAGACCGTATATCCCGTCTTGACATCTCTCCATTGGCTCCCTGCTAGTTTCTGCGCTCAAATCAAGCTGCCAGCCATCACGTATAAAACCCTAAACGGTTTAGGTCCTTGATGCCTGTCAGAATGTTTTCTCCTACAAAACAACTACCTGTCTCACCCACTCTTCACAGTCCAAGATGTTAAAAACAGTAACATCAAGGGAGGCCAGAAGAGGACACACCAGGAACCTGGCTTTTTTTGGTTGTGGACCCACACTTCTGGAAAAAACTTCCATCAGAGGTTCACAGGCCACTTTCCCTGGCAGTCTTAAAAAAGTTAGTAAAAACAAAAGATTTTAAAGTTGCCTTTTATTAGCTATCGTACTTGCAATGTCCAATATCGTCCTAATTTGTTAATCTAAAGATAGGTTAGCTAGTCAGTGGTTTTATGGATTCCGTGTTTGTCCATTTGTATTTGTATATTGTTTTGTACTGATTATACCTTTATTCGTATACCTTGCTATAAACCGCTCAGAGTGTGTTGCATTATTGGGTGGAAGATGAGTTGAAATATATAAATAAATATGACTCTTCCTGTGTTGCTACAGATTTGGAAAAGCTCAAACAGCCAGCAACTTTACTGTCCATTGTGTGCCGGCACTAGTGGACTACGTCAGGCCATTTCGGCATCACAACCAAAGAGTTCATACAGTGTTTCCAAGACCACAACAGCATCACATAAGGAAAGAACATCTCACCTGGGTTTTGTGCACTGGACATCTTCAAACCCTGTTTTATGCTATTAGTAAGAGCCCTTTGCGCCAGAAGCGATCCAGAAGGGGTGCTGTATGCACTGCTGGTATCCTTATAGGGAACTCGCTGAGAGTCTGTCTGGCTTTTAAACTGATAGGGAAGAAAAGAGACATCAATAGAAGTCCATCTCCCCCCACCCCCCCGAGGCTTCATGGAAGGTACACTGAATATAGCAAAGTAAGAAAAAAATGCAGTGGTGCCTCGCAAGACAGGCACCCCGTTTAATGACAAAACTGCATTACGACAAACTTTTTGCAATCGCAAAAGCAATCGCTTTACGATGGTTTCAATGGGGGAATTTTGCTTTGCGATGATCGGTTCCCTGCTTCGGGAACCGAGTCTTGCAAAACGATGATTTTAAAACAGCTGATCGGCGGTTTCAAAATGGCCACCGGGTAAATAAA